CAAAAAAAACAGAAAACAAATTGTAAGCATCGATCTTACTTAGGAACTCCTTTGAAAGTACATATTGCTGAGTGTTTTTTACACCAATACTGCACCTAATAAAAAAGGTCTCATCAAATTTGGTATATCCATGGTTTTTGCTTCAATCTGAATAATCATTTGAGCGCTTTTGATGTTCCCAGCATAGCAGAATGCTCCCTCTTGACGTTTCATCACTATGGTTATATTGCTCCATGTTGCATCCAAAATTTTTTAGTAGCGCAGAATTTTTCTATTTATCTCATTTTTTTGTACGTATAACTGCCTTTTCTTTCTAATTAGTCTCAAAAAAATTTGCAGTTCCTATACCCCCAAAGAAAAATGTCTTAACTTCTTTTTCTTCATATTTTTTGCAGCTTTACGGGACACTCATAGTACAATTTCCTGCTATTCTTACGCTTTATCATCTCAAGAACAAACCACGAAAGAGCCCAATTTTTTTCTACAAATTCTCCGTGGACACACCTTTTGGATGGTACACACAACTGCTCATCAAAAGGGGACTCTTAGAACCGGGAAAAAGAGGTAATTTTCTTTCACAGTTTTTCAGTGTAATGACTCTAAAACTACTGAAGCAAGTATCTCGCTTTGCCGTGTTGTAGACTTCCTGTCATACATTATTGTTCAAGTGAAAAACTACTCCACATCAGTTATTGAAAACTTCTGTGATTTTTCTGCTCTGTTTGAAGGGAACTGTGAAAACTACAAGGAATGATATTAATGTGTTTTTATTCAAAAAAATAAAATGGGAGCAGAGCTTTTTAAACACCACAAATGAGATACGAGGTCTGGTAGTTTCATCGTTGACATGTGTCTTTGATTCAGATATATTTTTTATTTTTATTTTTCATAATAAAAACTATGATCCATTTTTTCCAAATGGTTAACTCTCAAGTCGGAATGTGGCGTAACATATTATTGACTCAGAGAAAATAAGAGTATGTTGGACCTCGACTCAAAAATGTTCAGTGTACTTTATTTACTTTAATTATGTATGGAAGGACTTCGTTAGGGTTTTTTTTACAACATTTATGTCTGGAAACTTGTTAATCTCTTGTTATGTTTTCTCCTCAGGAGCCGCTCATTGTGACGAGCTTGGGTATTTGTTCAGTTGTGCCATGAATGCTGAAAAACCTCTAGAAAGTGGATCTCTGGCAGATATGACAATTTCAAGGATGACAAAAATGTGGACAAATTTTGCTGTAACTGGGTAAGTGTTCTAGGATTTTGTTGTGTCTGAATTTCCTAAAATGTGATGATCTGGGTTGGAATATTTTAAGTATTAAACACTTTTTTGTATCATAGAATTCAAAGGAATGACTGTTCAAACGATTTTTTGTCACAGAGAAATTTTCTTATAACGATTGGCACTGCGCGCAACATAGGAAGTTTAAAGACCAAACAATTCCTGTGTTTTAGAAAAATTTCAAGTTAAATCTGATGTCATAGAAAGAAAGCTCTGTAATTATAGTGAGGTTTTATTGTCTCCTATATCACTTTCCTTATTATCAAGCTTTGAGTCATTCATTTGGACTGCATTTTGCAATTTGGAACTATTAATTTTGGTTCTTCTGGAAAAACACTTATGTGCATAGGGAAACTAATGGCACATACGTTGTTTTTGAACCGGGGTAGAATTTATAGTTCCAAATTGCAAAATGTAGTCCATTTAATCCACTGAATATTCTGAAAGCAGTCATGTGAGCTTCTTGAGAGGATGATTTTGAAAGATTGAAGCAAATCAATCTGAACTGGGTAATGGAGGAGTCATGAATTTTAGTCTGCTGTTTCCATGTTTTTTGCAATATTTTTCTCCTCTAGAATTCTAGTCGCAAAGTACAAACAGCACAAGTAAACTTCTCATATTACTTACTGTTATTTCAGAGATCCCAGTGCAGACATCAAATGGAAGCCCACGTTTTCCACGGAGTATGAAAAACCCATGGGGTTGAAGATTGGAGAAGAATTAGTCTTTGAACCTATCAAGGAATTTGACCTCCTTTCGACTTTCAAAGAATTAGTCCGACTTCCAAAGTAATGTGCAAAAAAGGATCTCTCAACCTTTCAACAGTGCAGCCATAGGAGGTTTGTGAAACTCTGTTTTAATACTCTCATTTTTTCTCTGTTTTAGTTCGTTAGATTGAAGTAATGTTCTTGAATGTTTGTTTGACTGTTTTCTTGAAACGTTCTGTCGAAGTTGTTCCTCTCTCATGCCACCTGGAAAAATACTGTTATATGTTAGTTTGTGGTCTAAAGTGCTTGCATGGTTTATGTTTTTTCATGTTGTTATCTTTCTCACTGTTCATGTAAGACCTCTCGCAAGACTTCCGCTTTGAGCATGTTTATCAAAACTTCTGTGCCTCCCTCCTCATTTGAGGAAAAAAAATAGTAAAAAAGTTAAAGTCGTAGAAAAATTAGCATCCGGTGATTTTGATAGTTTCTTGCTCAGGGAAAATGATGGGTGCATTTAGATACCTGAAAAATGATTTTCAAAGAAGAAATAATCAACGGTGTAAGTTGGCAATCACATAACTTGTTTTCGATGTCTGAAAATCTCTGCCTCTAGTCATTTTTCTAAAGGAGAACAAATTGACATCATTCCTTCAAGTTTTTGCAGAATTTTCTTTGCACAAAGAAGAAAAATCAAGGCAGTTTTAAAGAATTGCCATCGAGTGGTTTTCCGTTTAAAAAAATGAAGTATAACAGGAAGTCTGCGACGTTGCAGACCGAGTTATGTGATTGCCGACTTAGACCATCGTAATGCTTCTTATAGTTTGGATTCCAAGGAAGTTTTGTCATAAAATGACATGAGCGAACTCAAACCTGAGAAAATTATTTCACAAGTCAAAATAGATAATCAATGCAACTGTTGATGGTTGGTAGGTTACTGGTTGGGAATTAGCAAGCAAAGAAGATGAAGGGACACAATAAAATCATCAACTTCGAGGACCAGAAAATTGGGCGTGGATTTTGTCATGAAAAAATTGTGAAGATCACTGCGGGCTCCATATTAATTAGACCAGAAACTTTTACTTTTTTAATGATACTGATAAGTGAGGTTTTTGGCCCAATATCTTTCAAGTTACAAGGAAATGAAACAACAAGTTTTATCTGTTTTGTGTGTGTTATTCAGTGTGTTTTCCTAGTTAACTTGTGTGATAAAGTCATAGATAATTAGGTGTTTCTCTCTTGTATTTATGTTTTGTTTTGTTTTCTGTTTTTATTCAGTATTTGTTAAATATATAATTGTATTTTTTCTTCAGTTCTTTCCTCACTATTTTAGCTTAGTTCTTCTTAATACCTTCTTAATATAATGACAGTCATGTCTCATGTTCATAATGCCCTATAATCGGCTTATTAAGAAGCTTCAATTTTGAAGTTTAAGCTGATTTTTCTACTCCTTTTTTCCTTGATCACCTGAGTGGAAAATTTGCTCTTGGTTGCAATCACTTGGAGGTAGAATGACGTCATTCTACCCTCGAAGGGGGAGTTTTCCTACCAACAGTTGGAAAATGGGACCACCCTTTGAGGAACTCGACTTTTCCCGGGACATTAAAGGATTGGCTGGAAATTTTGAAAAAAGAATATTAATAATTTTCCTGTAAATTCGGTTTTTATCGAAGGAAATTAGGCAACATCTGAAGGCTCATACGGCGATCTTGCTCAGCACGACAGCATACCCCCTCAGCTCACGTGATTACAACATTACGCATGCTTACTACGCGTACGCAAAACCCCTCCTTTGATCGTCCGCGATGTTTCATTCATAAACCGCGAGTAAGAGGAGGGCTGAAGTATGACTCACCGATGACAAGCCCCTCCCCTCCTCCGCGTATCCAACCACCCGGGCGAGGGGGCCACGAAGCCAGCAGAGCTGCCGTGATAGCGAAGAGAGCAGTTTGTGCATGGTGGGATGAACCTCGAGGCACATAAAAGAACGTGCTTATTATGGCTCATACAGAAATGTACTTACGGCTCTCTTCTCCATCACGGCAGAGAGGGGGAGACAAGTCTACCAGAACCGCCCCACCACGAGCCACGAACCCAGAAAGGAATCCCGTCCACGCTTCGCACCGCGAGCACGCCGACAGTGCATTGTTTACGCCACCTCAACTCGGGAATGAGCTAATCGCGTCGGATTTTCGCTTTTTTCCACGCCGGTCTTTTGTCGCCTCTCGGTGTGCCGTTAAAATTCGTGATTGGCTTCGCGATCGGCGCGTGTTTTATCAGAATACCCCGCGGTTCGTTCCGTGCATTGTCTCCGAACATGTTGCGAGTGTCTGTGTAGTTGGCTGCATTCGAGTTTGTGACGAACATCCCAGGACCAGGATTTTCTCGATCGCTAGCTGAGCTTTGTGAGTACGAATTACAGTCCGAAGGTTTGGTCTTGCTTATCCGCGGATATTGGAAGTGGGAGGAGCGCGGATAGCAGAAACCGCGGATGATCCGTGGAAATTGTCGTTTTTCACGAACCGAGGGCTATGATTCAAAATTTTAGTGTTATGGCTGCGTCTTGTCGATCCGCGGTTATTGGAAGGAGGGAAGCGCGGGTAGCGAAAACCGTGGATACTGCGTCTTGTTGATCCGCGGTTATTGGTAGGAGGGAAGCGCGGGTAGGGAAAACCGTGGATAATTCGATTTAAACAACGAGAGGAAAACTATAATAAGCTTTGTAATAAAAAATTTTAGAATGAAAGCCAGGTCTCGTTTATCCGCGGTGACTGGAGTTGGGAGAGGCGCGGATAGCGAAAATCGCGGATAAGTCGATCAGAAAAAGAAGGTAAACAAATATGAGACTTATGTCATTTTTCAACAATAAAGCGCTATGAATAAAAATTTTAGCATAAAGACCGCGTCTCGTCGATCCGCGGTAATTGGAAGTGGTAGTGGTGGTCGCGCGGTTAGCGGAAACCGCGGATGATTCGATTGATACAATGTAGAGGAAAATTATGAAATTGTATTAGTTTTCACTAACTAAGCTTTGTAATTAAAAATTTTAGAATGAATGCTAAGTCTCGTTTATCCGCGGTGACTGGAGTTGGGAGAGGCGCGTATAGCGAAAACCGCGGATAAGTCGATCAAAAAAAGAAGGAAAACAAGTATGAAATTAATATAATTTTGGAACAACCAGGTGCTGTGAATCAAAATTTTGGCATGAAGACTGCGTCTCGTTGATTCGCGGTTATTGGAAGTGGTTGTGGTGGTCACGCGGTTAGCGGAAACCGCGGATAATTCGATTTAAGAAAGAAAAGATAAGAAATATGAATTTTTCTATAACTTACAGTAAGCTTCGAGATTAAACATTTTAGTTCGAAGGCTAAATCTGGGTTATCCGCGATAGTTATAAATGGAAGAGGCGCGGATAAGAAAGAATTTTGAAGAAGAAGAAAAGTCCTTCTGCACTGTCATGGCTATTAGAGACCTCCTTGTAGTGTACGTATCATAAACAAACTTTTCCGGGGGGAAAATGGTGATAAGAGGTAAGAAAGAGGTGTCAGCTAATCGAGTGCATACACGTTTAAATAGAATACTTTACTGCCGGCTTTATTTGCATGGAAAGGACGTAGCGTGTTTCAAGACCGTTTCAAGTGGCTAACACTGTCATTACATCAGCTTCTTGGACTGATAAACTAAGTGCCCACTCCAAAATATTATGCTTTCGCCGCATTCTTTTTGGTCGAAAAAGTTGAACTTCAATCTTTTCTTAGTAGGATTCAAAGCCTATTTGGACCGAATTTTTTATTGTAAACCCTTATGGGGGAAAAAAAAGAAAAAAAAAGAAGAAAAAAAAAACACTGGCAAGAAGTTTGAATTACCCATCACAAAAAGGTGCGTAATTTTTCTGTAGGAAATATCAATTTCCATCTCTACCCGCTATTTTCTCCCCCATCCCCTTTCCCTCTCCTTACTCTTCTGAAGGACTCCCAATCTGTTAGCTATGAGAAAGGTCCTTTTTAGGAGGTCATTTTCACGGGGTTCTTTTGGGGGGCCTCTACAGGGAGCCCCGTGAGACGGCCCTTTTCAGGTTCGGGGGTCTTATTAAAGAGTCTTTTTAAGGAGAACTTTTAGGCGGCTCTTTTCGAGGGCCGTTATCGGGGGCTCTTTGAGGTCCAGTGGCGAGGCGTTAATGATCGATTATCGATATTTCTCCATTTGAAGCCATGGCAAAGAATCGATTATTAAGATGTTCGTTGCGAGCGCCCTGTTGATCGATCCTTCTCCGTAGGTTCAAATGGCAGATCAATCGATTCATCGCAAAGCACGCCACGTCACTGTTGAGGTTAAGAGGTAATTCGTATTTTACGAAGTGGGTCCTTTCAGGCGGTATATCCCGTAAATCGTCAAAATTGGCCTTGAGTTTCGTTCCGGTCATCGAGTAATAGACGAATTGAACTTTACGAGACTAAAATTTTGTCGCCGAGTCGCGAGAAATCGATTTTTCTCCGGACCGTCCATCCATAAATTTCCACCTAGTGTCAGGAAAGGTATGCTTGTTAAAAGGTTTGAATCGATGACAGGGGAGGGGAGCACTTAAAACTCGTCCCGTAGTGTTGCCATCTCGCGACGTTTCTCCTGTAAACGGCCACAATCAAATGCATTGCATTTTAAAAAAAGGAACCAAGAGCATTCCAATGTCGCTAAGATGGTGCAACTTTTTTTACTTTGCAAATTTAAACTGATCATCTAAACAAGGTTCATCCTTACTCGCAATAAATTATAAATCCAAGACGAAAATTACCTTCGTAACTTAAATTTTTTGCATGACTTCGGTAATTTTATTGCAAAGAATGTAAGTTGCACAATCCTAGCAACATCGGAATGCTCTTGGTTCCTTTTTGCAAAATGCAATCCAAATAATTTGATGATTTTTGCAAACCGATGATTATACCGTATTAACAACAATGCTTGCTGCCTGTAAAATTTCTTTCGCAATTCATTCGCGCATTGTCTGGGGGTTCGGAGGTGGACAGTCTGTATTGGCGGTTACCCACTGATCCAGACCTGATGACTGCTGTACTGAAGGAAAAACACCATGCAAGCATACGGATGTTGCCAAATTTCTTCTTTGAAAATATTCATTTGTGAGGAAAGTTATGAATACTTTTCTTTGAAATTTTCAGACTTTTCAGATCGGATGGAGATGTTGCATGTGTGAGGAATTTGCGATTTGACTGTTGATTCTTATGTAAAAGTTCGCGAGAAACACGATGGTGCCACTGGTTTTCTCTGAAATCAACTCCCAAGCTCAAAAAAAGCTCTCAAGTTGAGGCCAAAATGAAGGGGATATCCCACGCTACCCTGGGAGTCCACCTCTACATCCAGACAAACTCTCCATGCAAAAATAGGGAGCAAATACCTTAGCAGGGTTGTCGTGTTTTCAGTTTTGGAGTCCCCAAATAAAGTGGCAGCCCTGTCAATGTATTTGCTCCCTATCTTTGCATGGAGAGTTTGTCTTGATGTAGAGGTGGACTCTCAGGGTAGGGTGGGCTATCTCCTCCATTTTGGCCTCAACTTGAGAGCTTTTCTTGAGCTTGGGAGTTGATTTCAGAAAAAACCAGTGGCACCATCGTGTTTCTCGTAAACTTTTACGTAAGAATCAACAGTCAAATCGCAAATTCCTCACATCTGCAACATCTCCATTACGAACGAAATCCCCTGAAAAATGTAAGAAGAAATAATCCCAAATTTTCCTGAAAACTCGTGATTTGTTGAAGACAAATCGGCAACGCCTGATGGTTCTTACGGCGTTCTAACTTAGCATGGCAGATGAATCATCAATTCATAAGATATCGTGCGCGGTGTTTCTCTTCTGGTTATTTCCAACCCACGCGATCGTTCAACAAGAGCCTGCACCTACTTTTTAACATTGAGGATGTTACGCGATCCCTATGGTGGAAATAATTCTTTGATCGCTCACTAACAATGTTCATTTCAATTATCGAATAAGTAATCGGACGTTGCCTTGTCAGTGACGTTTTCTGATTAAGACTTAAGAGGAGGCAGAATTAATACGGTGGATGTATGAAGGAAACGCATATCGCCGTTTCGCCTTCAATTTTCGTGGTAGGCCACAAAGCATCGCCCGTGCAGCAATAGTTATCTCTTTGCGGGATTAGGCGTAAATTACACGAAACTCCACTCGGCTATTTTGATACTAGCTCTATGTTTGTATCCGTGTCTCTAAGATGAATGAAAAGTGGTGAAAAATACAAAAATAATAGTTTATTCTGTAAGAGCCTGTCAAAGAAAGATCTTTTTGCGCCCATTCTTTCGGAAACTTCAGGATTTTGTTCAAATGTGGACTAAATGAAATCTTATTATGATGAGGTAATGCTCCAGTTTAAGTTTTTTATTGAGTTCAAAGCTTGTTTTGGCACAATATAGCGTTGCAAAGTTTACATTTTTTACCTTTGAAAAATACTAATATTTTGAAGTTTCTCGGTTGAAAAGGCAACTTTAGTTTGTCCCTTTTTATTTTTTAAGGCGCAGGATCACATAACGAAAAACATAACGAGATCAACTGAAGGCGTTTTTTCCCTAAACCGAAGTACTTCATAATATTTACAGTTTTCATTGGTAAAAAATGTAAACTTTGCAACGCTGTATTGCCAAAACGAGTTTTGAACTCAAATCCAAAGACTTTCTCCGGAGGATTATGCAGTCACAAGGTTCGCTGCGGGCCACATCTGGACGAAATCCCTAAAAGGATCCTGTTCGAAAACGGAAATTTTTTTGAAAGGCTCTTTCCTTTCCGTGCTCCCTAATCTCATATTGGGTTACAAAAAGTTATGCACTTTTGCTGATTCAGGATATTTTGCCCCTTATCCAGTAGAGTTACTCTACTAGAGTAAGAACGTTATGCAGACGTCTCGCGTGAATCATTCTGAGAGTTTTGTTTTACTCCAACCCAGCTTCCTCTAATTTTTCAGAAGTCCAGAACATGGAATATCCAGTCAAAATGATAATGAAAATAAGGCTAAAAACGAGAAAAGCGCACTTAAATTAAGAATAAAATCACCAAAAATTTAAGAACTCAATCTTTCCTTACTTAATTATTTGACAAATAATTAAGTAAGGAAAGTTTGAGTTTTTTTAAATTTTTAGTGATCCTATTCTTAAAAGAATATCCAGTTACCCTGGAAATTTAGAGGAGGAGTGAAAACCATTCAAGTATTTCAGTTGGGATTGACTAAAAAATCTACGACTGCATTTCTCACTTCCACTCAGCTCCCAATGCGCATTCACACACACTATCTCTAAAGCATCGTTAAAGAATGTGGGGCTTGCGCTTTAGGGCACTCCTCAGCCACGAGAGTGCGTTTTTATGTGAATTTTTCGAAAAAATGCCGGGTCA